AATCTCCAAATTCAAACGGGAACAAAACCTCAGGGAATGTCAATGAAGAATGTTTTGGTATAGAAACTGTTTAGAACCGAAGCTTTTTTAAATGATCTATACTAAAGGCTTGCATAAGTTACAGGGAAGTTTCTTCACCAAAAACTGTAGATTGCCAAACTGCGAAACAACGAATCTCCATTGCGATGGCTCAACATTTTCGCTCCTGTTTTATTTTTTCGAAGAAAAGACCGAGATTTTTACCGATTATTCTTCCACCAGAGGAGAAAAATTAAGCAAATTTCAAGGCGTAACGTCATTTTTTCCCGTAGAGAATTTTAAGAAGTCTGCAAAGGTGCAAACTAAGTTGCAGGGTTTCGCACTTCGGCCATCGTAATTTAGAGACGTGACTTGAATGATGTATTCACTGAAAAACGGGAGAATAGCAACACAGAAATTTAAAAAAGAAAATATTAAAATTGGTCTGATATCAAGTAATTGGCCCGAAAAACCTCGTTTTCATCCGCAAGATACCTGAGACTCGAATTTTGTGAAATGTGTGTGACAATATTTTCATTTTTGTCCGGAAAAAATCCTTAAGTTGGGACAACTATTATTATAAAAACTTTAGAACCATACAATCAACATTTGTGTACTACAACAGTAGAACAAAGACACACAAAGGCAGACCAAAACGGAAGTAATAGGATGAAGCCAAAAAAACGGCGGAGACAAGGATGCAAACATGTTTTTCACATTGTTTCCTCCGTTTTCTTGGCTTCATCCTATACAATAATATTACACAGTTAACATTGTTTGTAATTTTTTAACGTTTCATGGAATGTTTTGCGTTTAGTTGCTAGCTTAGTTGATGTGAGGAGGTCAACCCAATCCAACAATGTGGCAACGAGGAACAAGTTGTCGGGCCTACGGAGAGAGGGCTATGAGGTGCTGAACTGTATTACTTCCCTACGTGTTGTTTTTGAACTCCGCGGTTTCGTATTGCGGTGAAACGATTATTAAGACAATTAACTAATTTGTGCCTCGTCGTAAAAACTTATCTCACTTCTGTAGCCCCCATCACCCTTCTCACGGTGAATTTTTCGTTGCTCTTCACCCTCCCCTTCCTCGCGCCCTTCGGCCACAGGTATCATTGCAATTTTAAGCGGATGAGACTATTTTTCACGCAGTTCCTCACTTTTTGATGCTTTATGGCGGCGCAATAAAAAAAATTTCTGCCATTCAGAATGATACCTCCATTACCCAAACTAGCAGCTTCTTACTCATCCGATAGAGGAGCGTCCATCTGGCCTTCAAATGAAAATGAATAGAATACGTAACATTTTATGCTGGCTGGTCTGTTTCACTGCCGCGCTAAGGAAGAACGCCGTATGAGCCTTCAGGCGTTGCCAAACTTCCTGTGACAAATCAATAATTTTCAGGAAAGTTTGGAAATATTGTCTTCAAATTTCTCAGATAAGTTTGTCCAGAATATGGCCTAAATATTCTGAAGTTTCAGGGAAAAAGATTCGAAACTTTCCTCAAAAATAAACATTGCTTCGAGGAAATTTGGCAACTCTCAAAAGTTCATACGGCGTTCTTCCTTGGCACGACAGTTCAGTTGTGGAGAGCTTCCAGATAGCGTCTAATCGGCAGGTTTCAGAATTAGTCTATTAATGAATTCCGTTTTTGAGCAGGTTTGTGTTCAGTTTCGCAACTTTCACGACAAAAGTAAATTGATTCATAACAATTATTTTGACGGGGAAAATATTGCTAAATGGAATGGACTTTTTTAATCATGATACCTAGAGAGAATTATCAAAAAAGGTAAGAAATTCGGTCAGGATGCCCGCACCTATGATGAGCAGCACTCGGCACTCCCGAAAAGGTTCAGTTACACGATCAAATTGAGCCATCAAACTGAAGCTCTGATTGGTGGAAAAAGACCTGACGTGAGGATGCGACCAATGAGAGGCCCAATTTGATTGCTCAATTTGATCGTGTAACTGGACCTAAACGCGTGTGCTTGTTAATTAAAAAGTCGTCGCTCTGTCACTACGGATACGAGCGAGATCGTAAAATCCTAACTTTTCTAGGACCATTGACAGCTAATTACTTATGGCGATTGTAAATTGCGAGTTTAAATGATTTAAAGCGTTTTCATTCAAGGACCTCAAAAACATGATAATCCATGATATTCTGATCATTTCCTGATTTTTTACCACAATTTGGCGTTTCCTGACCATAGTGTAATGAAAAGGTCCAGCAACCACGAAACGATGCTGTAGATCTCGTCGTAAAGGTGTTTAATTCCATTCCTTTGCAGATTTCTCGGCTTTCGTATCGTGTGCCAAAAAAAAGGCGGGATTCGTTGACAGAGGTGACGACTTAGGAGAATAAATGAGGTCTATGAGTGTGCCCACGCTAACCAATCTAAGGTGGAAGTTTCTAGCGGGAGAGGTCACACGTTCAAAGTACACAAGCAGCAGGAGCACAGCTACCGTGAATGGGGTCTTAAGCTCATGCATAGGTTGACCGATACATTAGCACCTTCTGCTGCCGTGTTGCAGGATTTACCCACGTATGTACCTCACAGCTGAACATTTGACATTGATTCCTGTCCCATCCGCAATCACTGAAATATTAATGCTGTCTCTTCTTAATGATAGGCTGGCTCCACCAACTTCTGCCTTTATTATTATTTTGTAGATGGTAGTTGTGGGTTGTTTTCATTACGGAATATAAATTTTGCCTGAAATATACGTTTTCATGTGATGAGTTGGTGAGGATTTCAGTGAAGCGGACTTTAAGTTGTAATATTATTGCCTTACGTCCGGAGTATTTCGTGGTTTTTAAAAAATAAATTAATATTGTTTATAAAATTATGCATGAACTTTTAAAAAAGTAAGTGCAATTCAAGTATAGTTAACCCAGTAAAAGAATCGTCCCTAATTTCCCTGACGCACTGAGTAACATTCCCTGACGATTGAAGATATGGCATAGGGCCAAGAAGACATTATTTGAAATAGTTCTTTGGCAAAATATGTTTTTCTGAACGTCAAATCCATTGTAGAAAGCTAATAAAGATGAAGTAGCAGTTTTTCCCAGACATTTTCATCCCTTTCCCTGACAGGCTAACATTTTTGCAACAAAGTTTAGGAAATGATACTCCCTGACATTTTCCTGATTTCTCTGACACAATTGAGTAACATTCCCTGACGATTGAAGATATGCCATAGGGCCGAGAGGACATAATTTGAAATAGTTCCTAGGCAGAATGTGTTTTTCTAAACGTCAAATCCATTGTAGAAAGCTAATAGAGATGAATTAGCAGTTTTTCCCAGACATTGTTGTCCCTCTCCCTGACAGGCTGACATTCCCCAGTTTTCCCGGCATTCCCTGACCGTGGCAACCCTGTCCTCCTATTTTTGCACATTTGTGCAACTCGACACCGCACACTACTTAAAAACAAGGAGGAGAGACAGGAAAGCTGGACACTCGATGTGGCAACTATATCGAATCCGTTCTACTTTCGTTGATCTTTGGCCTCTTCCGCCCTCGGATTTTGCTTCTGTTTTGAATAATTATCATGGGAAGGGGTGACGTTAATGACGGCCTCCCGCGCTCCCCCTCATTTTTTGAATTCTTTTCGCACCCACGTTCGCCGTCGGCTTCTGACATCGTGATACGCCGTGCGAGCTTCAAGTTTTTTCCTTTACTTAGTCGTTCGACCAGTATGCTAAAGCTCCCAATATGAAAAGACAGAATGACATCAGAGCCAGCATCTAATGTCGTTGTGTATGTCGCATGGCAAATAGTCAAATCAGGCACATTGTCAAATGCCTAGGCAGATACTGAAATTTTCAGAGTTTGCGAGGTTTCTCTAATTTTCAATCTTTTCAGACAAAAAATCCGTTAAAGTGCAAACTGTAATTTTATTTCCCGTTCAAAATGCTCCTCATAATTCTTCATCTGTCAAAATTGTGAAGAATTTTTATTTTACGAAATGCTGCATATTTTGAGATAAATTCGCATTAAATGACTAGAAAAAACGTACTTATGATCGTATGGAACAAGTTTTTACGGAAAATTCATTTCCACATGATCAGAGAATATTTCGTCTACAGTCAGCAAAATAATCAGAGTTTCAGTCTAAGTAAGAATATTGAACTAATTGCCTAGGCAGTTAATAAAATGTCTGATTTTGACTATTTGCCTGCGACATGTATAACTGAGAGGAGGTATCACACCAGCAATAAATCGTATTCGATACATCAAACAGGTGAGATTATAACGATATCGATTAGTTCAATGTGTAAACATTGCCTCAAAAGTTAATTGAGTAATCTGAGGGAACGGGGCTTTTGTGATAGATTTTTACTTTTTCTTCTGAGTACCAAATGACAATAAAAACTGATATTGTTAGGAATTTTCTCATTCCCTTTTCTTTTTTTTTGTATTTGACGCTCAACTTTTCTGTTCAAAGAGAGGGATTCCTCTGATAAATGCGAAAAATTTTACAGAAAATGGTTTTCCCGCTAAAATCAACTATGCCCGATTCTACATGTATGACCAAAAATATTTTGGCTTCTCTCTACAATGAAAAAATTCGCCTTTCAGACTAAGAGAGAAAGTGACGCAGAAGTTGCTATCACTTTTACTAAACTACGATGACATACAGAGGGATAAGTTATGGTATCCAAGAAGGAGAAAAAGAGAAACAAATTCTGAAGAAGCAAATAAAGAATCAATTTTCAAAATAATAAAGTCTTCTTAGCGGCAAATCAAGATACTTCTTTCTTCACACCATCTTACAAGTTCCCTATTCGAACGTTTTTAAATACAAAGAAAGCTTGAAAGAATTCGACGGAATCAAAACTGAACATTCTCTGTAGGAAAAAGTAAGCCGGCCGTTGTTCCAGATTAGCGGTCCTCGAGTATCGTGAATCCCGGCGATTATTTTTAACGGTTGAGGTTATCACGATCGGATTCCGAGAATAGCGGAGAGAAACGAGGCCTACCTGGATAATGTTGATGTTTTGTCGTCCGGTCTGACTGCATTACCGTTGGCCCAGCGGTGAGGGAAGTTGTGGTGAATCGCACTCCCGTCTGAAACAAACACAAGTAGAATAATTAGCTCGTTGAGGCTCAATAAGATGTATTCGAGGTAGACGTATAATACTCGTCGAAATTACGCTGACGAGTTTTTTCATACGAGAGCGGAGGGTACACAAGATTGCTGTTCAATCTCTGTTCGTTAATCCGAGGTTATGATGATCACACCTGCTAATTCAATTAGCTCATTGCAACATGTATGTCCCGGATTTATTTGCTTTATTTGTATTTTTAAGTTCTGACTTTATTGATACTTAATGTTCGTTAACATGTTCATTGAATTGGAGGGTGCTCTCGATAGAATGATTTCTTTCTTCTTCTTCTTCTTCTTCTTCTTCTTCTTCTTCTTCTTCCTCCTCTTCCTTTCCCTCTCCCCCTCTTCTTCTCCCTCTCCCTTTTCTTCTTTTCCTTCTTCTTCTTCTTCTTCTTCTTCTTCTTCTTCTTCGTCTTCGTCTTCTTCTTCTTCTCCTCCTCCTCGTACGAACGACTGGGATTATAGACATGCCATCTGATGCCGAGCACATTAAACCATAAATATTAAAAAGAAAGATCGGTAGATTTAAAGGACTCAAAAAATCAATAAAAAACAGCAATTAAATAAGAGAACCAGACTTGGCTCACATCCCTTTTTCATCAAGTCATGAAAAAGTTTTGTTTGATTTCGTGCAGGCGATACAAATTGTCAACAAATCATTTTTATACAACGTGGGAAAAATTAATACAACTTACCGAGGGCTTGCAAGACTACTATTAATACCTGAATGTGAAGGCACCAAATTTTTAGACCCTCCCTTTTTCTATCCATGCGTTCAAGTCTCGAAAGTTACTGCTCAGAAACGGTGGTAAAACATGTGCGGCTCTGTTATTTCTTGAAAAGATCATCTTTAGCTGGACTTATTTACACTGAAGGAACTATGCTGCACACGAACCCTATGCCAAAAGGCCTTTTAGCATAAACACATCCTGTCAAGAATTTGTCTATTACATGCAAGGTTCTTCCAAACAAAAATTTCTTTGATTTGTTCTCTGATCTCATGCAAAAATCAGACACATTTTGGACGTTTGCACAGGTACAATCTCTAAAAAATTGAATTGTTTAAGTCAATTTTCAACCTTGGAATGGAGTTACGCTCCTGCGCCCGGGAAACGACGCACAATAGGACGAGTCAATGGGAGAGGTCAGACAAAATTTGGAAACTTTAAACGCTTATACTCCATTATAACAAAACTTCGAGATCTTACAAGTGGTCCCATTGATTTTCTCGTAAAACTTACTTTTAAAAGCACCTCTTAAACTTTAAAATATGACGAAATAAACATCAAAATTTTCAGTTTTAGTCAAATATTTGGACGTATCAATGCAAAATGGAACTACGTGTACGTCAAAAGATGGGGTGCGCTCGTTAGTTGAGGGCCATAAGAATGAGTGGAAATTTAAAAGCGCCAGTGACGTCAGCAGCAACGATTGAGACGGGACACGACGGGGAGATCGGTGGCGGGACTCTTTATCTCATGAGCCCTGTCCTCAACGCTCTTGTCACATGCCCACGGCTCACGACTTAGCGCTCAGTTCCTTTTGATATAATGTAAAATCCCGCTTTCTATTCCTCAAAAGGAACTATATCCACTTTTACATTGTTTTTTGTGCAGCTTCCTTGAGAACACCCCTCACATAGTTCCTTTACCATACATAGTTCCACTTGCACATAGTTCCTTTTAGCATAAATACGTCCATTTTAGGTCCGACTTCTCTGATTGACTCGATCCACCGTGCGACGTTATGTCCGCGTCATTAATTTATGCGGCTGCAAATCCATAAGTTTCTGGGACGGCAGTGAACTAGGTCTCATAGGTTTGAATCGTCCCGAAGTCCGGTCATTATTAACTTGACCTTCAAGCGCGTTTAAGAATCGTGCTGCATCATCCCGGTGAATCTGAAGCTGCATCCCAGTGCGAAATTGCTGACGACTCATAGCTCATACGCGGGAACTAATCACTTAATTCGCCGACAGCCAGCGCGGCGCGCGGGTCAGGAGGCAGTGGAATCGGCACTCCACGGCGCGGCGGCACATAAGGGTAAGCGCGATTTAAGTAAGTTAACGGCCGAACAGAGGATTCTGATGCTCAGTTGCCAGCTTGTGGAAATGAGAAGACCTCCGTATTCATGGACGAGTAGGTAAGGTGCGACTTTAAGACTTTAAGACTTAAGTAGTGTCGTTTTTTAAACAGGACGCTTAAAAAACGCATATTTCTTGCGTAGATTCGGAAGCTAGCAGTGTATTTCAGACTTTCTCAATGTGCTCATCGTGATTTTTGAGCAATTTGCTGTTAGACATAACTTTTCCTCCTGCTCTAGCTGAAGATTGCAATGGGCCCATTTTCGTTGCGCGAATCGTTTCTTACGTGAAATTTTGGGCAAGGAACATATGTATATCATGAATGGAGATGTTGCATGTGTAAGGAATTTGCGATTTGACTATTGATTCTTATGTAAAAGTTCGCGAAAAACACGATCGCGTCACTGGATTTCCCTGAAATCAACTCCCAAGCTCAAAAAAAGCTCTCTAAGTTGAGGGCGTAATGGAGGGGATATCCCATGCTATCCTGAGATTCCACCTCTACGTCAGGACAAACTCTCCATGCAAAGATAGGGAGCAAATATATATTGACAGGGCTGCCGCTTTATTTGGGGACTCTGAAACTAAAAACACGGCAACCCTGCTAATGTATTTGCTCCCTATCTTTGCATGGAGAGCTTGTCTTGATGTAGAGGTGGACTCTCAGGATAGCGTGGGATATCCCCCTCCATTTTGACCTCAATTTGAGAGCTTTTTTTGAGCTTGGGAGTTGATTTCGGAGAAAACCAGTGGGGCACTATCGTGTTTCTCGCGAGCTTTTACTTAATAATCAATAGTAAAATCGCAAATTCCTCACACATGCAATATCTCCATTCTGATATACATATGTTCCTTGACCAAAATTTTTAAGAAACGATTGGCGCAACGAAAATGGGCCCATCGCAATCTTCAACTAGAGCAGTAGGAAAAGTTAAGTCTAGCAGCAAATAGCTCAAAAATCACGATGAGCGCATCGAGAAAGTCTGGAATACACTGTAGCTTAGCTTCCGAGCCTATGCAAGAAATATGCGTTTTTGAAGCGTCCCGCTTAAAAAACGACACACGACATCACAGAGAAGATTTCGTGCGAGAAGTCGTTCCATCCAACAGTTGCGCACTAGAATGCTACGCAATACTCATCATGGCCGACGCCAACCCGCCAAAGCAAACGTGACGAGACAAAATTTTATCAACCGGCGTGCTTATACCTACATTTACCTTGCGTTTATAAAGACCATGGTGCCCTCTCACGATTTGCGCGCAAAAGCGACAGCCATGTTGAATATTTTGTAGTATTCTGGTGCGTACAGGTTCGATGGAACGACTCCTCTCACGAGATATTCACCTGTGCGGTAATATCGGTTTTGGGGCGGGAGGCTGATAAAAACGCATATTTCTCCCACATATTGTGAGGTTGAGAGGGTATTTCATACTTATTTAATGCGCTCATCTTGACATTTGAGCCACTGATGAAATATAGCCGAAAATACATAATTTGAAATAGTTTCCAGGCAAAAGTTGTTGTTCAAGAAATTAACAATTTTTCCCAGATCAAGGTGTCTAGTTTTTTTTTTTTATTTTGGGAAATCCTGATTTTTGACCGCTAAAACCTGATTTCATGATTTTTCCAAACCTTGATTAAATCCTGATTTTTTGTGGAGAAAAAGTGAAATTTCTGCATAAGCGTATGCGAAAGCATAAAAAAATCCGATCGGACTGCCGACTTTTCTCAAATCCTGTTTTACGACCGATTTTTCCTCAAATCCTGATGAAGTCGGGTTTTAATTCTCATTGACCTCAAATCCTGATAAAATCGGGAAAATTGGGAAAATCCTGATGCTAGACCCCCTGTTGACACTTTCATCATTTCCCGTGACATTTCCAGGTTTTCCCTGACTTTCTAAAATTCCCTGGCACCTCCCGATTTTCCCTGTATTCCCTGAATGTGGGAACCCTGATTTTTTCATTTTTCCAGGAGGGGAACTAAAATTTTTGGGAGGTTGGCAACGATGTTGTTGGACTAGGACGCTAGGTCGCGGATAACTGTTAAGTATCAATACGTCATTAATAACACGGCGCGACTGCGCAGAGAGCGGGACCGCGGAACGGGAAGGGACCGCGAGAAAAAACGGCAGCCAGATGGTGTAGATGTACGGGTTGCTGAAGATGCACATGTGCGTTGCTATGAGTTATGGCTGACCCGAAAGACTGCACCGTGCGCATTGCAAGTTGCAGCCTCCCGCTCCTCATGTCGTCGATACTCTCGCATATCCGCAAAAACACCGGTTCTCCTCACCAGTCGCATGTTGGAGATTCCAGTCTCCAGATAGATTAGGAACCTGAGCTTGACCTACAAGTTGCATAAAGGGTAAATAAATCCAGGAAAAAATCAATCAAACAACTTCAAAATCAAATGAGTTTAAATTAAATGTAAAAACAGTAATAGGATGTCTAGTTTTTTCCGTTTTGGGAAATCCTGATTTTTCCTGATTATTGACTGCTAAATCCTGATTTCATAGTTTTTCCAAATCCTGATTTTTTTGCGGAGAAAAATAAAAAATTCACAAAAATAGCTCAATAAAAAATTTCGATCGGGCGGCCGAATTTTCTCAAATCCTGCTTTCACGACCGATTTTTCCTCAAATCCTGATGAAATCGGGATTAAATCATGATGGACCTCAAATCCTGATAGAATCGGGAAAATCGGGAGAATACTGATGCTAGACACCCTGAGAAAGATTAATTTACACGCTTGACTATTTCTGACGTGCTGCTATCGTTAAAATTTTCATTATTTTCGAAGCGCCTTCAAATTAAGATGATACTCCGCAACACACCAAAGCTCGAATAGTGGTATCACAGGGACGTGCGTATGGC